TCTCTCCTCTTATACTCAGGTGCAGGGATCATCATGATGTACATGTATATGTGTACAGCACCTAACTACTGCCCTACAAATAACGAGGACGTGTACAGAAGAAAAGGGATCCCTTCCAAGGGAAGGAGGCAATGGGAGGAATAGGGGCTCCTGAGGTAAGGGGGAGCAGCACCCCCACCTTGCTCTGTGGACCTCCAGAGGCCCATGTGAAGGGAGCCAACAGTAGCTATCTTAGGAAGTGGAGCAGAGCACCACTGCACCAACTCCCTGGTGTTGGATCAGAGGATCTTCTGAGGGCCTTCCCCAATGCCCTCTCCCTGCAGACGTTAGGGGCGTGTCAGGACCCGCTGCCAATACCTTAGCAAGCTTCAGAAAAGCTCCTCAGAGGTCAGCCAGCCCCTCCCCTCCTCTGCAAACCCTGTGTATTCCTGGTGAGCTATAATTAGACAGGCAGCTGTGTGTCAAGGCTAACTAGGCTCCTTGGTCTCCAGACAGCCCTCCGCCAGCATGTCAGAGAGCTGATGAGCATATGTAGGCTAGTTGGGAGCTACCAGGCTAACAACGCTCTCAATGAGCTGGGGGAATTGCAAGGGGCTCAAAGGGGCCTGCTAGGGCATACAGTGGTGGCAGCCCAACAAACCCCCACACGCTTGCAGGGGTCTGTAGGGGACTGGCGTCCCAGGGAGCCTCCGCTGGTTTGTGGAGTGGAATGTCCCACGTATGCCCCTTCTCCACTCCTTCCCATCACCACGACTCGCCTCCCAGCTCTCTGGCACTCTCCAGGATTTCTTCTCCACTGCCCTCAAGCGCTGTGCTCTCCTCTCACCCCACACTTCTGCCTGCCAGTCTCCTACTACCCACAGGAAGCGAGCACCTTTGCTGGTCCATGGGTTGTGACGCAGCGGGGAGGTGGGGGCAGCAGTACTGTGAGCTCTTCCTGCTATCCCTGCTAGTGCCTGACTGAACCCCCATGCACTTCATTTCAAACATCTGCTCCCTGTTCCCAAGTGAGGGGCTGGAGAAAAGTGGCAGAAGCATGGTCTGACTGTGGTGAGATCTGCTTTTTAATACCTCTTTATTTAAAAGCAGCTTGTCTAGGGCCCTTTAGCTGTGGTGGAAACAGTCGCTTTTCATCAGCGATGAACCTCCCCACAGGTCAGCTACATATGGAGGTCTTAGCTCAGCAGGGGAAAGGGCTAGATCCTCTGGGCCAAATCCTTACCTGCTATAAATCAGCATCCCTTTTTAATGCCCAGCCATTGTTTCTGCTATTGCCCGGACCCGAATGCTGCATCCCAGCTGTGTTCGCACCACAGCCAGCTAGAGAAAAGCCATACCTGTCCTTGGAGCATGGTCTGGTGCCTCAGATCACATTGCAAACCAAGATCCTGGCTCGCAAGGAGTTAAAAGCTGTTTGCATCTTGCCTTAACATGGTGGCTTAGCATTTACTATTTCCATGCCTATAGTCATGATCGGGGGGGGGGGGGGGCGTTGCTGAGGGACCCCAGACTTTGCAACTGTTCCCAGATTGGATATTCACCCCCAGAGCCGTACACACCACCCATCCTGGGCAGGAGTCCAGGGCTTGGAAATTGTGCTGAGAGTAGATGTTCCCTGCTGTTAGCAAGCCTGCTGCTCTCACCCCTTGGGCTCTCTGGCTAGCTGTCACACTGGCTGTAGCCCCGTGAGATCAGTGCACCTTTCACTGGCCCTGCATCCCAGCTCACTTGTGCCTCTGAAATCTTGGTGTTTCACATTTGTTTTCCCCTGATACAAATCAGCTGCGTTTGCCAAGGCTGTTATTTCCGGTATCTGCTTAGCGAGTTCTGTGTTCATGGGAGGGACGGCTCAGAATCTACTGAGATGCCAAAAGAGGCTTCTCTCTAATGTTACAATTTTAAGACAAAATTGGCCTGGTTATGATCTAACTTGGGGCAGTTTACACCTGTGTAACTTCCTGGACATGAATGGAGTCATGCCTGATTACCAATGGGGTAATTGATGGAGCTGGCTGAGGCTCGGGTTACAGTGCAGAGCAAGCCTGGGTAAACATCCCTGCCTGGCCCCCAGATACACACCACAAGAATGAGGCAGTTGGACTGCGAGGGTGGAGATAGGGGACCATGCAGTCCTGGGGTGACCCATAGGAGTCTTGAGTATTGTCCAGCACAATGTTTGCAGAGCATGCCCTGTGCCAGCTACACAGTACCCCAAATCCCACAAGCCATGGGATCAGCGGGCTGGGAGCCATGCACGTGCAGTTTCGAACCACCGAGCAATCCAGGAAGGGCCAAAAACAGAACCGGGGAGAATCAACTAGATTTCCTCCCCATTATTAACTCTTCACCAATCTATCTACCTGTACTAGTGCCCCTGGAACACTGCAGCATCAGCCTGTCCTGCTTCCCTGGAGCTTTGCAGCTGCCACTCTCAAAGCATTGCACAGGTCACTGTCATAACCCCTATTTTACCAATGGGGAAACTGAGGCACAGGGACATGTGGGGGGGGGTCCCACCCTGCCTTAATGGCATAGAATCCAGGCCTCCTGCTTCTCAGGCTCATGTGTTAGTCACAAGGTCATCCTGGCTCCTGCTAGCCCTATGGGGACTGTAAGGCTTTCAGCAGGCTGACGCTGCCCAGTGCAGCTGGCAGACACAAGGACTTCAACAGCATACACGTGGGCTGATGTGTTGGCCCCCGCCTGCGCCAGTTACTGTGACATGCACGTACTCGGATCGCTTGCACAGGAGAGGCAGTTAGAGGAAGGCTGAGCTGTATGTCAGGAGCAGCCGTAGGGCACGTCGTCCCAAGGACTGGAGCCACACAGGGTGGGGTGCACACTCCTGCATCGTGCTACCGCTGAGCTGGTGGGGCTGAGGAGCAGCCACTCAGAGATGCAGGTGCCTTGTGGCTTGGTTTGGTTCCTTGGGCTCAATCCTGGTTGCAGCATAAGCCACGGCAGCATCCCAGACACATCCAGGGCCCGGTGAGGAGCCAAGCTCAGCGGAGACAGCCCGCAAGGGGCAGGGCCAGTGCAGTGCTGGTGGCTCAGGGCCCAGGATGGGAGAGTGGGGGGAGGCTGTTCTTTCCCACACAACAGCTTAGTCACGAGAGCTAAGTGACTCCCTGTGGAGTCGGGGCGAACGCTCCTAGGTGGAGGCAGCCAGCTTTCTTCCACACCGTGAGTCAGCCCTGCAGAAGCCATCTCGAGTTGCTGTCACCATCGCCCTGTAATGGCCTGGTGCAGTCACCCTCAAACTGCTGCCACCTCTCCCTTCCCCACCACCTCCTGCGGGGGGGAAGGCAGGCTGCAGCCTGGCATCACTGCCATCGGCACCACGGCAGGCTCTGCCTGGCAGCTTGCTACCGCTAATGCCGCTGCCCTCCTCTGGCACCTCCCACCTGTTGGCGTCAAGGTGCTTCACAACCGTCCCCAGATTCAGCCTCACGGCGCCCTGCTCAGTGTCTCTATGTTTTAGATGGGGAAACTGAGTCACAGAGAGGCAAGGACTCTCCGTATGTCACGTAGCAAGTAAGTGCTGGGAACTCCTGGCTGTCTTGCCTCTGCTTTAACCACTAGACAATCCTGCCCTCCCTGTGCTGCTGCGCACAGTGTTAGTGGCACCCCGTCGCTGCTCCTCGTGGTCGCGCTCTCTTGGGCAGACGGAGGGCCCCAGGGAGCCGAGCTTGGTTTGGATCCACAGAAGGGAGGACAGCAGAGCTCAGCCAAGCTAGCAGTGAGGGGAAGCCATACCTGTCACACTCCATGGGCTGGGAGAGTGTGTGCACTCCCCACCCCACCCTCCCATGTTCATGTGGGCCAACAGCTGTTGGAACCCTGATCCCCACACTCCCATTCCGAGACAGCTGGGCACAGCAGCCTTTACCAAGTCACCTCTAGAACAGCCCTAACAGACAGAGACACGCTGGGCCAACACAGCAGGCAGGACTCTAGCTGGATGCCTGGCTCCAGGCGCAGGACGGGGAGGTACAACACAGTGGGCCTGTGCAGGGGAAGTGGGAAATCTGGGGGTAGCTCCACCCGGCTCTCCTTAGCCAGAGGGGAAGGTTGTTCTGGGTCAGGATAACACAGTGGAGCTGGAAAGGACACACCCCAAAGGAGGCTGGATGGACTGTAGATGAAGGGGGCGGGAGGACCGTCCAAAGGAGCAGAGCTCGCTGGCTGCTAGGGATGGTGCATTCGCAGCGCTCTGCCTCGGCACACGGCCAGGGAGAGGGTTCCACCCAAGCAATGGGCCTCAGCCTATGCTAGCAGCTTGAACCAGTTGTAGCATGTGCCGGTCGCTGCCTTCGCATTAGCCATGCTGAGTTGGGGTCAGTTTTGCTCCGCATCAACACTAGTGGTGTCCTAATCCTCTTCAGTTGTAATGCCTTCTGGGTATCTATCCCACAATTCCTGGCTCAGCTTCCAGAAGCAATGCATTCTGGGGCACCATGCGGGGCCACTGGTTTCCTGGGGACTCTCCCAGGACTTTGAGCTTATCTGCATCCACACAGGCACTAAACCGGTTCAGCTTCAGTCTGGACCAGCTAAGCTTTGCTCAGTTATTCAATCTGCTGAGACGCTGTTTATTTTTCTGGTTTTCTGACCCCTGGGGCATTGTGTGTGGATGCAGAGCATCCTACAAATGTGCAAGAGGCTGTACGGGGGTTAGTTTCTCTAGTGGATGCCAGCCCATGGCACATGAAAATAAATTTGCTTTGCACGAATTTACAGCCATAGTTCAGGACAACAAATTGCCCCTCCTAGCAAACACCTGCTCTAGAGAAAGCTGCTGCCCAGGGTAATGCTGCCTATGCAGTCTGCTCTGGGTGCAAGACTGCACCCCACTCAGTGCCCCAGACAACGCCTGAGTGAGCCAGCCAGGCGCCGGGGGAATCCCTTACTAGGAAGTGGCACAAAAGCAGTTTTCTAAGAGGGATCCCAGCCTGAACGCTAGCTGGCCTGGCTCAGCTGGGGAGACCGATCTGAGTTACCTTGAGCAGCTCCCTGGGGAAATCACTCCCTCCGTTGAGGCCTTCCAGGTTCCCAATGAAGTCAGAGCAGGACATTCTCTTCCCTATGTTCTGGTGGTGACAGGGGCAGAGAAATGTGGCTGGTTACCTTTGGGGAGTGGGAGCAGCGGCTGGTCGGAGAGCCCCCCTGCACCCTGGCGGTAGGACAGCCAAGCATTACAGAGCAGCACTGCCTGGATCTCATGAAAGGCCACTTGGAGATGTGGAGAACCTGGCCCCCTTTGCTAAGGGCTAGGGAGCTTTAAAAAGCCATTCCTGTCAAAATTCAAAGCCCCAAGGCCACTCAGTGATTCCCTTCCCATCCCCCTCACTCTCCTCCCTTGTCTTCCTTACCTCTCCTTCCCACTCCTCTCTTCTCCTCAGCCCCGTCTCAGCTTGCTGCTGCTTTGCCAATGCCCTTCTCTCTCCTGCAACCTTTTCTACCCGCTCATCACGCCTTCTCCACTCTTTGTTGCTTCTCCTTCCCGTCCTCTTGACGCCCCCACACAGCTAACGGGCTGGCTCCCACATACCCCAGGTGCCTTCTGCTAACACGCAGTCAGACAATGGCCACTTTGCTCCCTCCCAGATGAGAAGACGCCTAGTGGAGGAGCAGAGCATGCAGGGTGCTGGAGCTAGCAGGTACTCACGTGCCCATGGAGGTCTGTGTTTAAGAGCATCAGGGCACAGGTCAGCGTGTGGACTCCGTCTGCAGCACAAGCACAAGAAAGGTGATCAGAGCACCACTCAGATCAGCTGTGCAGGCTGAAGTTCCATTTAATTCTGTTGTGTGGTCCCGGCCCCAAAGCAACTGCACTTGATGGGATTTTGCACAGCTGCTTTGGGGCTGGGACCACACAATAGAAGAGCAGTGAAGCCAGAATTAATGCTACAGAACCCTGTGTAAGCTTTGACATGGCATCCGGCACCCAGCAAGCCCTAAATCCCCATGCACATGGAGCTGACTCAAGGTTGATTCAAGGTGAGGACATGCAGGCATGCGGTGGTGAATTAAGTCAAGAAAGAAACAAGGATGTAAAAAGTCCAGATGAAATAGAGAGATCTGGGCAACTGGTAGTGGCCACTGGAGCATCCGGTTGCCCTGGCTATTTCACTTTGAAAGTCCCTGCCATTCTGAGTCACGGGACTCAGACATCCAAGCACACAGTTACACTTAAGAGTAGCTCCTTTCTCTCTCCTGGTGCTGATCTACTACAGTTACAGGTGGCGAGTGTCCAAACTGTGCATGTCTAGGCCATAACAAGTCTGGCTTTCAGTGAAGCCTTATCTCTGAATTTCCTGGGTTTACAACACTTAGTTTGGGAATAATTACAACATCCCTGTGATTTATTTATCTGTCAGGTACTGGCATGTGCTCTCTGCCTTAACTCCAGCTTAACCTAGTTTTGGTCAGGGAATCTGCACCCAGGTTTACAAACACACACGCAGCCACAGCCATATGGTAGCTCACCCTCAGAGGAGACAGCATTGGGGTTGCACTGATAATAGCGTTGTGAAAAATGAGCCAGGACTCGCTCTCTCTCCTGAGTCTCCCCCATCAGGGCCAGCTCCTTCAGAAAGGACCTGAAGAATAAGAGTGGGACATGCATCAAACCAAACACCACCTGCCCCGCCCCACCCTGTCAAGGAGCAGGAGAATTGTCCTTTTTGTAACAGACAGGAAAAACACCAGTGCGTACAACAGGGAGCCCAGAACTCCTACATTGTTATTTCATCCACTTGGAGGATTCCCCACCGAACACGTGATCAGACGGTCCCATGTGCACATCCCAGAACTCTACATCAGGTAGGAAAGTCTGCATGGGAACAGCGGCTGAACCCATCCCAGAACTGTCTGGGCTCGGAGACTGAGATTGTGGAAACTCAGCTGTGGCTGGTCGGTGTCCAGAATCCATGACATCTCCCTCCACTAGAATGTAAGGTTTGGTATGTCCTCCCATGTTCTTAGACACCAGCCCACGTGATGGGCTCCCATGTTGGAGACGGTCCTTGGGAAAAATTACATTTCTTGGGTAAGAGAAGAAGTCTTCTTGAGATGTGAACGGCTTTACAACCGTCTTTTGGTGCTGGGTCTAGGGCCAGCCTGTGTGTGTGGGGGACCTTTTGCTCTTAACTGCAGATGGCCCGTGTTGCTGGGGTGCACATAGATTCTGATGATGAATGGCTCCTAAAAACATGTGTGGCCCCATGAAAGATTCTGACCTGAGAGCCTGGTCCAGACTCATCCCAGTGAACACGAAGAATTTCAGATATTCCCCAGCCACCATCTTACTGAACTCATTACTGAAAGAGAGGGGAGAGAGAGTTGAATAGACCAGACCACTGTGACAGACCAGTGTAGAGAGAGAGAGGGAGGGATGGAGATGGAGATGGAGGGGGAGGAACAGAGGAAATTTTAAGAACATAAGAACAGCTATACTGGGTCAGACCAAAGATCCATTTAGCCCAGTGTCCTGTCTTCTGACAGTGGCCAATGCCAGGTACTTCAGAGGGAATGAACAGAACAGGGATTCATCCAGCGATTTTAAAGTACTTAGTACAGGGGAGGGCAAACTTTTTGGCCTGAGGGCCGCATTGGGTTTCTGAAATTGTATGGGGGGCCAGTTAGGGGAGGCTGTGCCTCCCCAAACAGCCAGGCATGGCCTGACCCCCGCCCCCTATCCGACCCCCCCCCACTTCTCGCCCCGACAGCCCCCCCCCCCAGGACTCCTGCCCCATCCAACCCCCCTGTTCCCTGACAGCCCCCCGGGGATCCCTGCCCCATCCACCCCCCGCTCTCTGTCCCCTGACCGCCCCAGGATCTCCCGCCCCTAACTGCCCCCTGCCGCCCATCCAACTCCCCTCTCCTTCCTGACTGCCCCCCCCGCCCCGGGACCCCTGTCCCATCCAACCACCCCTTCTCCTTGACTGCCCCCGGACCTCCTGCCCCGACTTCCCCCCGCTGCCCCATCCAACCCCCCCTCCTTCCTGACGGCCCCCCTGGGACCCGTGCCACATCCAACCACCCCTTCTCCCTGTCCCCTGACTGTCCCTGGAACCCCTGCCCCTCACCACCCCCCCACCGCCCCATCCAACCCCCCCCCTCCTTCCTGACTGCCCCCCAGGGACCCTTGCCCCCATTCACCCTGTTCCCTGCCCTCTGACTGCCCCAACCCCTATCCACACCCCCGCCCCCTGACCACCACCCCCGAAGTCCCCTGCCCTCTATCCAACCCCTCCACTCCCTGCCTCCTTACCACACTGCCTGGAGCACCGGTGGGTGGCGGCACGGCTGCACCAGGACAGGCAGCCGTGCAGCACAGAGCACCGGGTCAGGCCAGGCTCTGCAGCTACGCTGCCCCAGGAGCTCGCTGCTCTGCCGCCCCAAGCATTGCACCAGCCGCGCAGTGAGCTGAGGCTGCGGGGGAGGGGCCGGGGGCAAGCCTCCCGGGCCAGGAGTCAGGGGCTGGGCAGGACAGTCCCAAAGGCCAGACGTGGCCCGCGGGCCATAGTTTGCCCACCTCTGACTTAGTATCACACCAGGGGACATGAGATAGGACAGTGGACAGTGTGATGGGGGTGGACACACCCAATACAGTCGCCAGGTTTGAGGTGTTTCGCACTGATCTCCAGAGGGCAATATTCTGAGTTCTCCCTGGAGCCTGAATGCAGTAATACTTGGTGTAAATGGTGCATGTGGGATGAATTTTGGGCATACGTGGCCTTTTAGATGTGGGTCGTGCGGAGCGCTCCCATGAGCTCCTGCTAAGGGCAGTCTGTCCTTGGGTCTGGCTGTCTCTTGCCTACCATTCTCTGCATGCTCCTATGCCCCTGTGGAGCACTTATGCATGCAGCAGGCTGCTCTGTCTCCTCAGTGACCGAGCAGCACCCTGGATGAACAGCCTCTCCTCATAATACCCACACGTACTTCTTCCCCAAATGGCGAGCCACGTCTGCTTTTTTGAATCCATCCAGGTTGTAGAGCCTCTTTGCCAGGCGCTTGGCAGCCTCGAGGTCGGCCTTGTGCCCGTTGGACAGCGTGTCTGTGCTGCCCAGCGCTAGCTGCTCCGTGCTGTCCATCTCGGAGTCTGAGTCCGAGACCAGCTGACTCAGAGGATGGTCACTGCAACAAAAACAGAAGCCTCGGGTAAGTCTTGCAACAAAGCTTTTTCCACTGCATCCTGCTAAGGCACCTGGGCTCCTGACCCCAGGCTCACCATCCTTTCTGCAGCTCGCTACCTGGATCTCCACAGCTCTCTGAGGAAAGACATCCCAGGAGGCTTCAGCTCTAGATACTGCTACTAGGCCGCAGTACTGGCTGGAAGTACGAGGGGTGGGATCTGGGTGTTCCCCACTTTGGTTTTGTTTGATGCCCAACCTAGAGTTTGGAGGCAGACCTGTAACCCTCAGTGACCCATCATCTGACCCCTCCAGGCTGTCTCCTGCTGCTGGGCCGAGGGGCCAGACCCTTTAGGGAAAGGGATATAATTGAAGACTTGCCCTGCGTATATACCCTGCTTTCCAGTTGTGTGGTGTCTGACACATCCCCCGCTCTGAAAGAAGCCAGCAAATCTTGCCACCGGGATCCACCCCCCATGGTGCCCTCTCCTCTCTTTCTCAATACACCTGCTTGCTCCTTCCCATCCTCTGCATCAGACTGGGACAAGCTGGACAATTTTAAATCCTTTCAGACCCCCCAGAGCCAAATGTTCACAGATTCCCTGGACAGACTCTCTAAGGTTCACCTAGCTCATGAGTGCAGATCTAAGCAGGTGCACAAGGTTTCCCAGCAGCATGATCAGTGGAGAGGACCAGCGGCCGGCTCAAAAGAAAAACGAATCCAGCACACTGTGGGAGACTGGGCGGGAGGATGACTCCTCTGCAGAACAAGCTCTCTCCAGAGATGCCAGTCCAGGGCTTGCCCCTGGTTCTGAAAGGCCCCTCCAGCCCCTTCTCCACTAGTGCAGAGCAGGTTTCTCCTTGCTGTGCTGACTCAGCTGTCTCCAGCCCTGTGGAGCTGAAACCCAGCTTTCAGAGGAGGGAGGAAATTCACACTCTGCCACGGGCTGGTGGTGCTGAAGTGGAGTCAGGCCCTTGAATGGGGAACCGGGGGTGCTGCTTGGCTGGTGGCTGGAGAGCTGTGCCTGGGTGCAGCACCCCGCAGGGAGCATGGAAATTGCATTGGTTTATGGCCACCACTGGCCCAGAGATAGGATCCAAGCTGGAAGAACTCTGGAGACTCCCTGCTGGACTGACTGGATCACAGTCCCATGGCCTTGAGCTCAGCTTAACCCCTGAGTGCTGGCCTGGTGAGTAATACCTAGCTCCTATAGCTGTGCAGTGTTGTTGTAGTCCTGTCAGTCCCAGGCGATTAGAGAGACGAAGTGGGTGAGGTCACAGCTTTTCTGGGACCAATATAAGCACCCCAGTAACCTCAGCCTTGTGCTGTGGATACATCAGCAGGTACTTTAATGGTGCCACCCCAGGGTAAGTTTGGGACTATCCATAACACTGTACAAACTTGACTCTTGGGTTAGATCAGTGGTTCTCAAAATGGGGGTCGGGACCCCTCGGGGGTCACAAAGTTATTATATGGGGGTCACGAGCTCTCAGCCTCCACCTCAAACCCCGCTTTGCCTCCAGCATTTATAATGGTGTTAAATAGATTTAAAACTGTTTTTAATTTATAAGGGGGGTTGCACTCAGAGGCTTGCTATGTGAAAGGGGTCGCCAGTACAGAAGTTTGAGAACCACTGGGTTAGATGGTGCCAAGCTCTGTGAGCAGCCACCCTCCTCACCCGAAGTGTTCTTCTGCAGGGGGCAGGCCCAACCCTAGACTCAGTGCGGAAGGCCCAGGGGAAACCCTGTATGCACCAATCAGGGAAGCTGCTAGTGCTGTGTGCGGTCCCCCAGCACCCATGCGGGTTCTGGGCCTTCCTGCAGGAGCTGCTAGCATTGCAAAGTCCCTCTTTGCCCTCTCCAATGCAGGCAGGTGCCCTAAAGGCACAATCTAGCTCTTAATCGTATTCCTCATAATTGCCAGTGCTATTTCATCTGTGAAATTCTTTATGGTTTATGGAAATACTGTCCCCAGCCAAAAGACTATGGGCCAGTGAATTCTCACAGGTACCAGGGGTTTAGACAGGCCCATTCATACACTTACACACACAGAACAGAGCCATCAGCTCCTTGCACAGCCATCGAATGCTCCTTAGCCTACATCCTCCCCTCCCCGCTCCTGCCTGCATTCTGAAGGCATGCAACATAGTGCCATGCATTCTCTGGGTCCCACAAAGCGTGTGTCCAATATATGCAATGGGCTGACTGCAGGATCTTCGTCCAGTGTGCGACACCCACGAATGTAAATGCCTTAATGGACATATTAACTGGAACAAACTGCCTGCATTCCTAGGAAAGCAGTAGTTTTATAATCCAAACCAGTATGCTGACTTCTTTACTTAGCACTTCTCATCCATTGATCTCAAAGCACTTTACAAAGGAACGGCAATACTATTATCCCCACGTTACAAGGGCAAACCAAGGCACAGAGGGGCAAACAGAGAATAGAGCCCAGGTCTCCTAACCTGCAGTTCAGTGCCCAATCCTGTGTATTCTGCTTCCTGTACTACTTCACTCCTTGAGGCCTTAGACTGACATGTTAGAAGAGTTATTCTAGGGTTAGCCTTCAGATCAGACTGACTCAGAGACAGAGAAGTTCTCCCAATCAAAAGCATCCAGAATCCCTTCAACAGAAAACATTCAGCAACACTGACCTCGCCCAGATTTTCTGGCAGCCCCATAATGTCTTAGTCTGATTTATTTTTACGGTCCTCTAATTGACTTTTAAGAGGCCTCCTCTCCTGAGCCAGTTACAGAATCAGATCTCCTGCAGAGCCTGCTTCATCCACTAAGGACACAGACTCCTCTCCGTTCCACACAGTTCGAGCACACACTGCATGTGTGGAATTCTGGAAGCCAGCCAAGCATGCTCCACACAGGGGTCAAGTGCAGAGGATGGCAGAGAGCTCTCCCGAGTGCAGCGGGGTGGAAGGAGATTTAGAGGAGGATTTATCTGCTTCTGAAACCATTTGCTTCCATTTTCCCCAACTCCCCAGCTTAGTTTTTGAACATGGTTCTTAGTCTTGATCTTTGAGTCAGGGGGCCAAATTCAGCTCTGGTGTAAGTAGGTGTAACTCCCACTGAATTTTGTCCGTTACGTGCCTGTGATTACAATAAGACCAACACACGAAGTATGGCCCAGTGCTAGGGCACTAGCCTGTGTTTTGACATACCCAGGGTCTATTGCTTGCTCTGCCACAGACTCCCTGTGTGAACCTGGCTGAGTGAGTGTGCCTCAGTTTCCCCATTTGTAAAATGGAGATAATAGCATTTCCCTCCCTTTCAGGAGTGGTGTGGGGATAAATTCATCAATGATTGCATGGCACTACAATATGGATATCATAGATTAGAGTTTGTTTTCAACCCCAGTCTCATCTACTGTCAGCCAGCCTTCCAACCCTTACGCACACTGTCCCACTATTGCTGTTGGGAGCAAATTCCTGGGTTGGAGTAGGGGGCACAAAAAAGCCATTTCTTGTAGCCAGATAACCCATAGCCAGCCATGTCACAAACATGTCACTTGACTCCAGGGAGCCAAGTCTTAACTGATCCTAACAGCAAGCATAGCCTGACTCTTTAAGGTGGCATCTACAAGCAGCTAGCAAATCACGTTCCAACTTGTACCTGGCTGAAGGCCCTTTTTGTGCTTTCGGTTCAGAGTTGACTAAAAACCCACCTCTCCCTTTCAGATTCTGTCCACCCGCTGCCAAGGTGATGCTGCTGTTCCATTCTGTTAATGACCAACATCTCCACTGTGCTCCAAATAAGAGGGGACATTTCAAGCCCAACTCAGAGGGGTTATGAGTTCTGTTGGGCCTCTCAAAGTGACCTCTCAACTGCCTTCTCCAGATTGATTTTCTGGCTATAGCTGAAGGCAAAATCTTGCATTGATCTTTACAATAATTTCTCTCTTTCTCTCTCAAAGTCCACATCTCCCTCCAGTTTTCTCCCATCTGCTTCTGACTGATAGGTGGGGTTCCTCTTTGCCTCTTTAAACTGGCATGCGTGGATTAGATAGCGCACTCCTGAAAGCTGTGTAGTATCTGAAATCTACCATCTCCAGCCTGCAATCCTGATTTCAGGCTCTAAATCAGCAGAACCTAGGGCAGAAGATAATCTATCTGGCACTTAACATTTTAAGATAAAAATGAGCTGATTCATGCTCCAGGCTTTGAAATTAACTTTTTTTTTCTTATGGCAGAGCTACTATACTATCTTTAAGTTGGAAGCAGCAGCCTTGATTCTTTAGTCCTCAAGTTTGGCTATACTGATGACAAGCTAAAATCCATCCCTCACCAAGTCAAAGTCACTCTGATTTTTAAACAAAAGTGCTTTCAAGGAAGAAAACCAACAACCAAGTCTTTCAATCAGTGGCAACCAGAACAAAATGTGCATGGATGTGAGTGTCATAACCAAGGTGACTCCATTTTCCCTGCAAATGAGCTAAAACATTTCAAGGCAGTTTTTCAAACTGCACTTTCTAAAGCGGCATTTCTGTTTGGCTTGAAGAACTATTTAGCTCAATGTAAGTCTAACATAAAACCTTATCCAGAAGATTGGCCTACACTTAAAAAATAAATCAATATTCAATCTAGTACTGTACAAGCATCTTCTGTGAGTCATCTACAGACTGACCTGAAACTCCCTCAATATTTCAGTTTGGCATCCACACAGCTTGCATGACACCCCTCCATCCCGACCAGGAGCTCTGGTCCCACGCTCCTCAGAGCACACTGCTATTCCAGTCTGGGGTTGTATTCTCAGCTCTGCTGCTGCATCTCAAGACTGACCTGCCATAACCCCTCACCATTTCACTAACAGGTCAGTTCCTAGGATACCAGTTGTACAACGCCACTTCCTGTTCTTTTTACAACTGTTCTTGTGGGACCCAATTCATGTAATGCTACTTCCTGAACTCACTACAACTGTCACCAGGGGTCAAGGAATCTTTTCATGCCACCTCCTATCCCTGTAGTCATGGGGAAAACATTAACATTGTACTCT